ACCCTAACGGGTGTCCCCCGTGAAGCGGGTTAGAAAGAGAAGAAAACACCAAACCCAAAACTCTCCCCCCAAACCCGGTTTTTGCGAGAAATTGGGGAGTTTTGGGAGGCCCCACTTTTCCAAACCCCTTTAACAAACCAAAAAAAAAAATTTCCCCCTCCCCCCCCCCCCCCCCCCGCTCCCCCTTATCCAACTGGGAACCAATAAGGTCAAACACCTCAACCAGTTGCATAACGCACGAACGCTTTGCCATGAAGCCATGTTGGCAGCTGCCGACCAGGCTATATACTTGATCTTTAATAGCATTAAACAAACAATGCTCCGTAACTTTAGAGAATAAGCAGAGTAGTGAGATTGGTCGATAATCTTCGACGTATTTTTTAATGGCCTTCTTATATACAGGGATTATGCTAGCCAATTTCCATTTTGTCGGGAGGGAGCCAAGTCTAAGCAATTTCAGAATTGACCGAAGATCACAGAGTGAAGGAGTAATCTCGTGAGCTGTTTCCTGAAATTTCGTCTGGGCCAGAAGCTTTGTTCACTTCAAGACTGGACAAAACAGCTAGGACTTGATTGGTTGTAAATGTCAAGTCACATAGTGACTGGTAAACTTTATTGAAAGGAAGCGCTTCTCACCAAAACTACATTACTCTTTAACAACCCTTATGCAACTCTACTATTTGCTCAGAAACTCAAATAACATACTCAACTGCACACCTGTTTTTGCTGTTTGTTGGTTTGCTTGTTTCTTAAATGATCGTATAACCTTGGAAAACTGGGCAACTTTTTAACAGCTTTTCAACAACTCTACTGTTTGCTCAAAAGTTCGAACATAAACCCTAACCGTGCAACAAGCTTTTTAAACTGATCGTACAAGCGTGGGAAAACTAGCTAGAGAGCACCGCAAGCAAGACGCCATAGCACTCTTGCACAGTTTCCTGAGCACTCTCATGAAAACACGCGGAACTCTCACGAAAGTTCTAATGTCTGCGTCTCTAAATGTCAACAAACTTTACAAACTAATGTTGCTTCACTACACATAGTAACCAACCTGAGATCTTCAAACGCCCAATGAAACTCCAAACAGAACAGTGTTAAATTGCAAAAACTACATGAAGATCGTAGACAGACACACGTCTAAAAGTGAAATCTGCTAACAACATTACCTTTACAATAAAAAGCTAATCACTTGCAAAATGAGATTAATCAGAATGAATTCATCATCTAAGTAATGAATATACTTAGCAAAGGCACTGTGCAAATCTAGAACGCTTTACGGTGTAAAGTCAAAAGTTGGACCAGCGTTAGGCCCAATATCTGGGTCACCATCGTCGTCAACAGGCGTGCGTAACAATTTTTTCAAATGAAGCTCAACTCCGTACATAAGGCCGATAGCATTCTCCAGTCCCTCATGAGGGTTTCCGTTAAAGGTGTTTTCCAGAGATTTGAGCAACTTGGTATACGCTTTGTTGAACAATACAGCTTGCCTGTACGCTTTTGAGCCGGGCGTATAATCCGACAGCTTGGGATTAGGAATCATTGGCCAAACACCTTCGGGATCAAAGCTTATCTTGGAACCATTGAAGTAGTAGCTGCCGTTGCAAGGCTATTGAGGGTAAACCACAATTATCATCAGTAATCATTTTAGAGCGTAAAACATTAGGGATGTGGGAGATGAAAAAACAATGATCTTGATTAAACCGGCCATAAAAATTCGCTCACATCAAAATCTTTCACAGGACGCAGATTGAAAATGTTGCTACAGTTCGACTGTGAGTAAAGTCTTATCTATAAGAATCATTGCTACCCATCCTGCAGTTGAAGGTTCCACAAAAGGATAGAATAACCTGGCTCTTTCTGAAAAAATATGGTAAGTTGAAAGACATACCAGCTAGATAGCACTACACTGAAGAGGGACATGATATTCTGAACACTCCAAATGTGATGTGAATTAAGTAAGTGAATCTGAGGGCAAAGGGCTCAACTGCTTTGAGCTTACAATGGTTCCGTTCCTAGCATAAAGAGAACAAGGAGAGTTGCCACCCTTCCTTCTCTTAAGACAGAAAAGCTTGGTCAATCCATCCTCCCTATATCCCATCTTTATTTTCTTGCCTCGTACAACGTACCTTCGGCGCTTCACCCAAAGCCGCAGCATCAGCAGTTTTTGTATTCGCCTTGACCACCTGAATCCCTCTCTCCTCGGCAATTGATTGAAACATGAAGTAATGTGAAAGATCCTTTTGACCCAGTTCATCCTTAGTAATAGGGTTACAAGGATTGCTTCCTTCACCCTGGTCAATAATCGTGTAAATGGCGTCAACGGCAGAGTGGTAGTCGTAGACTGAAATGTTATCGTGCTTTTTAAGATGCCAGCGAGTTGTAACCTGTTTACTCATGTGTCCTGTAAAGATGCTGTTATTATTTCCACAATCTGTCAAATTTCCAAGGACTTTCAAGATGTGATGGTAAAAATTACCAATTGTGTTATAGTGATGTCCAAATTTGCTACTTTCTTTATCAGGGAGCTGAATACATTGAGATAAAGATTAAAAGAAACAAGTCAATTTCAGAAGAAAACACGGGTGATTTTTGCCAAATACAACTAAGAACAAGTGCCAGCTTTGCTTCAACCCAGCGGGACTCCTAAGCCATACCCATGTACTTAAAACATTCTAAATTTATCTTCGCTATGACAATGTTACATTATTGTATTTGATGAGCCCAATTAAAGCGGTCACGTGTTTGAGCCCTTCCATTTTTATAATCACCAGCCTTCGTGGTAAAGAAGGGAGGTTAGCTGGTGGTAACAGATTTCCTACATAAGCTACCACATAACAAGGATTGAGAAATTGCGCTCTCTTTCTTAGTAATCACTTCTCTAGCGACCACAATACCTGTTTCCCCATTTTCTTATTTGCCATGACTTGACGCGATCGTTCCATTGCAGCAGGTAGGTGACCTGAAATTAAAAATAAAAACCTTATTTGTTGGTTTAATTCAAAGTACATTTAACGGTTGGCCACTTAAAATCAGCGTCCCGTTTCCGCGTCAATATAGTATCCCCAATTAGTACTTTAGTGCCTATAATGAGTGTTTCGCGTAGCTCAGATGACCACGCAAAATGACGGTCCCGTTTCCAGTGGAAAATAGTGTCCTCATTTAGTACTTGTGCTAAATACATTGACATTAAAATGAAGTGCTTTTTATAAAATATACATTTGATGTGTAGTATCGCTGAGTATTTTAACAACTGGTGCTGTATTTTGGCGCTAAACCTTTTGTAAGGTGGAGAACGTGTGACAGCTTTTGTGTGTAACGATTATGATTGCCTGGCTAAAGAAACATCAACTTTTGAAACCAGTTTGTGAAACAACTGGAGCTTGAATTAGTACGAAAAGTTATATTTTCGAAGCGGTTAAGCAATTATTCTGGCGATGAATTTCGATAGCAGAAGTTCATTAAAGAAAACAAGGAAGTGATTTGGACAATCAGCTTCAGAATAAGAGCGAAACAGAGGTAAGATAACCGGCATTTGTTTTGCAAACGAGTTTATCGTCTCAGTAAGGGGCACGTACGTACGTTTCAAATGCGATGAAATCAGTTTAAAGTTGGCCTTTATACAATCAAAACGCTGCCTATTTTTCCTGAAGTGCGGCTCTACCATCTTTAAACGGCGTGTTCCGACAGAGTTTCTGATGAAACGTGCTTATAATATTTTTTTCCCGATTATATTATTTGTTACGTATCGTAGTTAAGTGGTAAGGTAAGGAGTCTGCCTAATAATAAAGCGGTCCAGGGTACGACTTTTTGATAGTCCGGTTTTAGTTTTTTTTTTCTGCCGGCCCTTAACCTTAGTTTCACGAGGTTCTGCGATACACGTACTTCTAGTGTAATCATTATTTCATATCAGATCTACAATGTAGCCTATTAGAGTGACACAATGGTACGTAATTTTGACGTCATATAATTGGCTGAACCCAATAGATAAGTGTAAAAACGTCTAAGTAGGAACGCGTCTGATAAAATCATGAAGTTCACTAGCAGACTGATTTAAAAACCAAATTGTTGAAAAATGTTACCCTTCAAAGGGGCACTCACCAACATAGTGCATGTATAAATGAAAGTGCCCCTCTCATAATCAAGTACAGTGTAACAATAGGTCCTCAAGGCTCACCTCGTATACCAGACCTTGCGATGTCCTCCAAATCAGATGGATGGTGACAATGGCCAAGATAGTTGTTCTTGTCTTCTTTCAAGCAGCCTGTCCCTTTGTCATTCGTCCGACAATGACTGGATCTAGTACGGTTAACATATTCCCAAATATGTACCAGATTGTCTTGTAGCTCATACTCTGGCTGCTCAATTGTCATAAAAATATTCCTTATTAACGCAAGGGAGATCTTCTCCACTGGAACTACCAAATCAGGGTGTACACCACCGGGAAGTCTTGATGGGTAGTGGGGGATAAAGTCTTCTGAATGAAAAGACGGTTTTCCTCCAACAGCGTTGATTATGTTGGCAACAAGAGCCATATGCATCATCTCTTGGATCACTATGTCTCTCAAGATATTTTTCACCTCCTGGTTGTAGCTTTTCTTGATGGAGGCCCAAGCAGTTAAGTATGGTGGAATAGTTGAATGTTCCAGCTGAAGTGCAATCTGTAGGTCTTCACGGAGTTGTTCCACTGTGTACAAGTTTTCTGGATTACCAACAAGAGGATTTTCCTGTTTAAGCCATTTCAAGATAACATCGCGCTTGGACTTCGACAGGTCTCGTGTAACAGGCATGTAGTTTGGATGTGATTCAGGTAACTCGAGACATACTTGGATCCTGTGACGATAATTTATAACTTCATGGTAATTCCCTAAATCTACGAAGTTTTCAGTCATCACTGGATACAAATTGGCGTATTGCTGGAAAATAGGATACACATGATCTAACCAGGTTGGCTCGCCATCAATAGTATAATCGTCAAACACCCGAATAACAACCAGCGAATTAAGTAACTAACGGAAGTAACGGATCGTTTTTGCACATGTCCAAACAGTCTGTCAGCTTTTGATCGAAGAACGAGTATCTTAAAAAGTAAAGCTGCCCGTCGATGAAGCTCCTGTCATTCTTAGGATCTATTGTTGATATGGTGTACTCTGCGATCCCATTGCCATCAGTGAGAACATGGGACGGTACTTCAGGCAAAGGCGGTTGACCGACTGATGGTCCTTCTTCGATATATCTGGGACAATTAACATTGCAAGGTTCCAGGTTCACAGTTGCGTTATTAAGAGGTTTTCCAAACTTTGTTGCAAAGATCTTTACAGTAGCTTGCTCAAAGGGATTTTTTCGAAAGGCCCACTCGTCGTATGGATGAATAGCTCTACCATCTTTAGCTTCCGCTAACACTTTCTTCTTGCAGTCTAAGTTTGGCAAGGAACCTTTAACCTATAAATTAACATGGGCGTTAAAATTTTGAGAAAGAGTACCGACAACGAGAATGTACATGTACGGTGAGAAACTCTATCAGTGCTCAGTACGAGCAGTATTTTCAAGAGTTTAAAAATAAAAGGCATTTTATTTTCCGTCCAAAAGCATGTGCTGGGTAAACAGTTGAAAGATAGTGTCTTGTGACCACGATGCACTCAGCCAACCCCTAAATCCGCCCGTAGTTTTTCACATGAGCTAACAGAAGTTTAAAATTTTATGTAGCTTGTTCCTAAACAAAGTTAGGTTCTTAATGGCCCCTTTTCTATCGTATTTTTATTTTGTGTAAAAACAAAAAACAACTTAACCCCACTGAGTCATCGGTCTCCCTAATCCATAAAACGCTATTTTTAGAAAGGAGGCTGTCTGAGACCACGCAACGGGAAGCTTTTTTTTTGGCAAACCAAGTATTGCTTGAAAAAATGTTTTAGCACTGACTCCTGAATAATTTTATGCTGGATTTAAATACTCACAAAGAAAATTCCAAAGCGATGTTTGCCATTAATTTTTATCTGTTACATGTATAATCATGTAGATTGAGTAATACCTGAGCGACAGCCAATGGTTTGCTATTAATTGTGCCCATATCTTGTGGTGAAAAAGTGCCATATGATGGGAAAACCTGGACTCCGGCAGTGTTGGTATACCAGTTTGGTGACCTGTATTTGACATTACCTAGCCATAGGAAATCATCAGAACAGTTAAGCGCTGGATTTGTGTTCCTAGGTACAGCCAAAAATAAAGTATCCAGGACCCCTCTGTCCAAGTTCCCATTTCCATCAATTGGTAAACTGTTTCCAAAGTCTACAAACACCTTTCTTTTCGCTTGATCCACATAAAACGGTGCATCTTGCAGTTGAGTTGACAATGACTTCAGCGTACGACCGTGAGTAACGAATTTTGGAGACTTGACACCCAACAAACCTATTGTGCCTGCGAAATAAAGGAGTCAGAAAAAAGAATGCGTGAACAGGCAGCAAGTATCACAAGCTACACTGTTATTCTTTCAAAACTATTAGCAACAAGAAGTTATTGCTTCTATTACATGGCCAGCTATTTGGAACCACTAGGGGCAAAGCGGAAGTTGGCGTATGTCATATTCCTCTCGGTAATTGGTCGGCCGCTTTCTCTAACTTAAAAATGACACGAAAGAGTGTCACTGACAAAAGCATTTGCCTGCTGAAATAAGCACATTAAATTACACATATTAGCCCCGATTTCTGATTTTTTTCCCCCTGAAAATCCGATTTTAAAGCCCTTTAGATGCTATTCGACTGGTTTCGGTCGTACCTTACAAACCGCACAAAATTTGCCTTAATCGAAGGAAAAAATCACAACCTCGCGAACACAACTAGGGTGTGCCTCAAGGCTCTGTCCTTGGACCCATACTATACCTACTTTATACAACGCCACTGGCTGACGTTCTGCGTCATCAGAAGATGCAATTTGATTTCTTCGCTGATGATACTCAATTATACATCTCTTTTTCACCAAAAACAACGACCTAGAATTAGCCAGCAACATTGCCAAAATACAGGATTGCTTGTCTGAGCTTGATAGATGGATGTCTCTCAATAAACTGAGACTAAATAGGACAAAACTGAACTTCTCTACCTCGACTCTAAGCACCGTTCCATAACGTCTCTACCACCACTTCGTTTTGGAAAGGATACAATTCATCCATCCTACTCTGCCAGAACCATCGGTGTCATTTTTAACAGCACTATGTCTATGCTTCCTTATGCCAATTCTGTCTGTATCCTCCAAGCTTGACTACTGCAATTCTCTCAGTTGTATAATGTGCCGAAGTATGTTTTGAAAAAGCTTCAATCAGAGTACAGAATGCTGCCGCCCGCCTGATTAAATGCTCCCGCAAATACGACCACATCACTCCAGTTCTCTCCGATCTACACTGGCTTCCTGTAAATGAGCGTATGACTATTCAAGATCCTGCTGCTCACCCTCAAGGCTCTACACCAACAAGCACCCACCTACATTCAAGATTTGGTAACTCGCTATTTACCGCCCAGAACTCTCCGGTCACCCAGCTCACAACGCCTAAAGCCTTCTTAACATGAAATCTTATGGGTCTAGAGCCTTAGGTGTCGCTGCTCCTGACCTATGGAACAGGCTACCTGACAACATCCGTTCATGTGATAATTTGACTTATCTTTTTAGGAAAGCTTATTACTGTTGGTATGGCCATTTTTATCTCAATTTTAATTCATTTACTGTTTGATTTGTTTGGAATGTTAAATTTTATTTAATTATTGATTACTTAATTATTTATTTAATTGTTTGGAATGTTAATTTTTACTTAACTGTCTGGGATGTTGTGTAAAGCGCCTAGAACAGGATTGGATAGGCGCTATACAAATTTTAATTGTTATTATTATTATTATTATTATTATTATTATTTTTATTTTTATTATTCAGCTCACCCGGAATCATTTTTGACAATTACCCGCTTTGTGAAGCTGTTTGAAGCGGCTCTAAAATTAGGATCGGTGGATCTGCCGGCATCGAACACAGTAAAACACCTACGAAAAGTAAAGAGTTACTCCCAGGCTTTTAACTTCCAAAAGAAGACTGAAAAGAGCTTTGGGAATACTAAAATCGTAGCCTGAGACTGACAGCCGACATTTGGCGACGCTACCACTGGTTTCCCCGCCAAATGACGTCTAAGAAACGAGCGCAGAAATTCCATACTGATGACGCGTCATTACCCAGATCTGGGTGATGCTTCTGATTGGTCGTACCTCGTGGGAAATATAAAATATAAAAAATAAAAAAAACGTAATAAACTTATACCTGTTATGCGTCCCGTTGTAAAGGTGTTTTTTCTTGAATAGCTCTCGTACATATCAAGATTGAAACGTATAGAAAGATCTTTGCCGGAAATGTTAACATGGTTCATCGCCCTTTGAAGCTTCTGGATAAACGGGGAGCCGTTTCCATTGTCTATCCACGTAACGTTTGATAGCACCGACTGATAAGCTACACCAAAAGCAGTACTATTAGTTTTCTCCCCTTCTTTGGTAATCTTTTTCTTCCACAGGTATTGAGGTGGTATTGGAGTATAATCAGCGGAAAACAGATCCCCGATTCGAATTCTCCAACCCCACATTTCACAATAATACAACTGAGCTTCAGTGTCCAGGTCTACCAACTTTGCAGACGTCTTGTCCCCACCATCTGATGAATAAGAAAGGCAGTTTGGTACTAGAAATGTTCTTAATTTTACACTGACTTGAATAAAAGATTCTTCCCATAAGTATTTCAATACTGGCACATTGAATATTTCCGAAACTTTTCACCGGCTTCATTTGAATAGCTTTATAACAATTATTCCTCGAGCCCGAATGGGCTTTGAGTCAATAGTCCATGAGGCCGAAGGCCGAGTGGGCTATTGACTCAGAGGCCACGAGGGCGAGAGGAATAATTGTTTTTTGTAAAATTCAACTAGTTGATCAAAAATGTCGCGACAAATCAACTTTAGCTATCAAAACGCGATTCAGCCGCAATTGTTTTGGTTTTCAAAGCCAGCGCTTTTCGCTATTAGTGGGCTATAACATATAGCCTAGTAGTAGCTCAACCAATCAGAACGCAGTATTGCTAATAGACAACTAGTTGGATTTTACTAAATATATACATATCTAGCCGCATTTTTTATAACGTTATCGCCAAATGGACCTTTTGCGTCGAACAGTTTTTTCCGGCCAAAAACTAAAGCTACTTCTCCAAAGTAGCTATTATAAAAACTGAGAGTGCAACCATTGCTTTTGTTTCCTTCTCCTTCTTTTCCTTCTCCTCGCTCTTTCTTTTTCTCCTTTCCTTTTCTTTCGTTACTATGATTTTGGAGCTTCTCGGGCTTAAGAAGAATGCCTTTTGAGTAGACGTTTTTTCACTCAATTGACTGCAAATTTCGTTAGGTTGGTTTTCAAAAAATCGGCTAGATATACAGTCTTGTCTTGTCTTGTCTTTGACACTCATGTCATTAGCCTGTCTTTAAAAATATTCCGATTTATAAAGTTATAAAGGTTGGACGGACTGGAGACTCATGGTTTCCCTCGCAGCCGTTTAGTGTCGCCGTCACGTAACGCTTCTCCCTACAAACGTCAATAAAGTTGTGGGGAGGAGCATTGCGTGGCGACACTAAAAGCGGCTTCGAGGGAGACTAAGAGTCTCAGTGCCCTGACAAATTTTTTGGGGGTATATGGTATTCTGTTTCAAGATAATTTCAAGTACATTTTAGATATACTGGTATCTTATGAGGAAAAAATCGGGTTCCCCCTTCCCCCCCCCGGCCAGGCTTGAATTGTTTGCAACAACATTCCATCAACTTGTGGCATAAGAACGGTTGTTCTTTCTTTGTAATTAAAATTTCAGTACTCATTTTAAACTGAATATT